CTTTTTTTATTCTGAAACAGAGATTTTGCTCTTGTTGCCCAGTCTGGAGTGCAATGGCACGATCTCAGCTCACTGCAACCTCTGCCTCCTGGGTTCAAGCGATTCTCCTGCCTCAGCCCCCCGAGTAGCTGGGATTACAGGCATGAGCCACCATGCCCAGCTAATTTTTGTATTTTTAGTAGAGACATGGTTTCACCATGTCAGCCAGGCTGGTCTCGATCTCCTGACCTTGTGATCTGCCTGCCTCGGCCTCCCAAAGTGCTGGGATTACAGGTGTGAGCCACCGCGCCCGGCTGTGAAGCTTCTTTTATGAAGACTTTAATCATATTCACAAGGGAGGAGACCTCATGACCTAATTGTCCGCTAAAGGCCACACCTTGGAGATTAAGTTTCAACATATGAATTTTGGGGAACACATTCAGATCTTAACAAGTATTATCATATTTTTCAACAAAAATCATTAATACAGGGCAGGGTGCAGTGGGTCACACTTGTAATTCTAGGCTGAGGTGGGTGGATCACCTGAGCTCAGGAGTTCAAGACAAGCGTGGACAACATGGTGAAACCTCATCTCTACTAAAAATACAAAAATAAGCTGGGCATGGCAGGCTTCTGTAGTCCCAAGGACTTGTGGAGCTGAGGCAGGAAGATTGCTTGAACCCAGAGATTGAGGCTGCAGTGAGCTGAGATGGCACCACTGCATTCCAGCCTGGGCAACAGAACAAGACCCTGTCCAAAAACGAAAAACAAACAACAGGAACGAAAACAATATCAGTAACAGGGCTTGGAACTTAAGCCTAGTCGTGGTTGAAGATTATATCCTTGGTTTTTTGTTGTTGTTGTTGTTTTCTGAGCTAGGCCTAATTCTTTTTTGAGCTATATCTTTGATTTCTTTCTAATTTTTATAAATACTGTTAAGGTTTTAGAGCTCGTTTGAAAGAAAACTTGACTTACAGTGATAGTTTAAGTGAGAAAAACCGTATTATTATAACACACATGTATAATGCAAATCAGTGCTTACCACATTGCCTGTATCTTTTAAAATGAAAGATTTGAGAACATATGCTGCCTGCAATGTGGTGATAATGATGATGCATTGAAATATTCCACTTAAAAAGCATGCACAAGTAGCAATGATTCTTTCTGTTAGCATTTCATGAAAAGGAGGCCCTAGGACATGTTTGTGATATCTGTACTTTCCAAAGGGCTTCCAGTGGTCTCATATAATACCTGGTAAAGCCTTTACCTTGCATAAAAGGAGAGAATATGTACTTCTCCTTGATTTTAAAAGGCACCTGATAAATTACATTTCCCTGCAGGTTACCAGAAAATGACATCAACACAATTTTTTCTTACAAAGTTGAAGACAAACATTGCATTGAAGAGGAAAATAGTTTTTTTCTTGATTTGACTTCAAAGGATGTATTAAATCAAAATTAATGTTGTAAGTCTGGTTAAATTTTCTCTTAGGGAAAGAATTACATTGAAAACCTCCAGGAACATTAGTAGCTAGAAATAAGATTTATTTTCACTTGGGAAGTTATAGCAGTATGTATCACAAAGTACTTATGCATCTTGATAACTTAGCAGTCTCTCATTCATAATATTCAGAATATCTAACTTAAATAGGGAAATACAGAATAAACTCAGTATTTTCTATATGCCAATTACTGGACTAAAAATTTCTGTGCATGTATTATTAATCCTCATCATCATGTAATATAGTAATGTTTTAATCAATTTTATTGAGCTATAGTTTGCATATACATTTTTTTGTTTTTGAGATGGTGTCTCGCTCTGTCACCCAGTCTGCAGTGCAGTGATGCAATATCAGCTCACTGCAACCTCCGCCTCCTGGGTTCAAGTGAGTCTTCTGCCTCAGCCTTCTGTATTTGGGACTACAGGTGTGCATTACCACACATGGCTAATTTTTTGTGTTTTTAGTAGAGACAGGGTTTCACCATTTTGGCCAGGCTGGTCTCGAACTTCTGATCTCAGGTGATCCATCCACCTCGGCCTTCCAAAGTGTTGGGATTACAGGCATGAGCCACCTTATAGTTTACATATACTAAGTATAACCATTCTAATTGTGCAAGTCAATGCATTTTAGTAATGTATATACCCATGCAACTACTATCACAATAATAATAGAGAATATCTTCATAATTGAAAATATTCTTTTGTGTCCACTTTGTAGTCAATCCTTTGCCTCTACCTTCACCCCCTGAAAACTACTGATTTACTTTCTGTCACTATAATTTTGTCTTTTCTGCAATTTCACGTAAGTGGAATTGTAATATAAGTAGTCTCTTTTTTTTTACATAGCATAATGCTTTCAGATTAATCCATGTTGTTTCATGTATCAGTAATTCATATCCTTTCATTGTTGAGTGATGTTCCATTGTAAGGATGTATCATAATACGTTTGTACATATACTCACCAGCTGATAGATATTCACATTTTCATTTTTTTACTATTATGGATAAAGCTGCTTTGAAATATAATGTAAAAGTATTTGTATAAACGTTTAGTTCTCTTGGGTAAATACCTAAGTGGGGCATTGGATTTTATAATGATTGTACCATATTAAATTCCAAACAGCAATGTATGAGATTTCCAGTTGCTCCTCATCTTTGTTAACACTTGGTCTTTTCAATTTTAGCCACTCTAAAGAGTGTGTATTCATAATTCATTGTGGTGTTCACCAGCATTTCCCTGATGTGGTAGCCAGTTTCCAAGATGGCACCCAGTGATCCTCATCTTCTGGTATTTATGCTTTTGTGTAGTATAGCCCCATAATAAATGTGGATGACCTGTGTAACCGATAGACAACTGCTGGAATAACAACTGAGTAACTTATGAGGACAGGTCATAAAAGACTTTGTAGTTTCTGTCTTGTTGTCTTTCAGACCACTTACTCTAGGAAAAACCAGCTATTATATCATGAAAACACTCAAGCAGCACTATGGAGAGATCTATGCCATGAGGAATTAAGGCCACTTGCCAATAGCTAGCACTAATTTGCCAGTTATGGGAGTGAGCCATCTTGGAATTGGATCCTCCAGTCCCAATCAAGTCTTATGATATAGTCCTGGCCACCATCTTGACTGTAGTGTCATGAAAATTTTTGAGTCTGAACCACCCAGCTAAATGACTTCTTGATTCTTGACATATGAAAACTGCGTGAGGTAATACGTTTATTGTTGCTTTAGTCTGTTAAATTTTGAGGGGAACTTGTTATGCAGAAATAGACAAATAATATAGATTTTAGTACTTGGAGATGGCTACTACTGTAATTCCTAAACTGTGGGAGTGCCATTGGCACCAGGCAGTAGGTGAAAGGTAAGAAGACTGAGGGGAATGTCAGTGAAACCTTATTGATAGAACTTTGAGGGCCTTTGAGGAGGCTGCTGGTAGGGTGTACAGGAATGTGAAGTAGGCAGGATTCTAAGGTGGCCCTCAAGAGTCCTGGCCTCGAATGTGTTTTGCATAATCAACCCACTGAATGTCAGCAGGACCTGTGAGTATGATAGTACATTACCAGCAGAATTATGTTATAGTATATAGCAAAAGGGATTTTGCAGATATAATTAAGGTGTCTAATTAGTTGACTTTGAGTTAATAAAAATGGAAATTATACTGGGTAGGCCTGACCAAAACACATGAGCCTTTTAAAGACAGAAACAGCAGCAACAGAGATTCTTCTGCTCGTCTTGACAAAGTGAACTAGCATGTTTTCAGAGGGCCTACAGGCAGCATAGGCAAAGGTATTCTGGGTAGAGAGAACAACATGGGCAAAATGAGGAGGCTCGAAAGTGTATAGTCTGTCTAGTGGGAAGAGTGACTAGCATGTAGTCCGGCTAGTGGGAAGAGTGACAGGAGACACCAGCTGAGAGGTATAGGCCATGCTAGGGAGATGGACTGTCTCTACTGGCAGCAGAGGGGAGCCATAAGCAGGGAAATGACATTACCATCATCTTTAGAGAGTACTTTCTATGAGCCAGGAACTAGCCTAAGAACTTGAGTGCATTATCTTGTCTAATCTATTAATATAACAGTACCGCATGAAAAAGTTACTATCATTATTAGCACTTTACTGAGGAGAAAACTCAATCTTGGGAAACTTATGCCCAAACCCAGCAGGTGATAGCTCAGAATTTGAATTTCATCCAACACCCAAAGCTATTCTGCAAATAATTTCTAGATCATTTTACCTAGAAGAGAGAATAATTATAAGAATAGTTCTAGCATTGTTATAGAATCGGGATTGAACAAAGGCCAGGCAAGGAGCCTGCTCAGGCTATTATAAGGGTTTTGAGGAAAGATGATGAGGGTAGTTAAGTATATTTTCAGTGCTTGCTCTGCTATGTTCTCTGTAGCCAATATTAGGTCTGTTACTTGTTGGAGCCTTCAGGAGCCTCTGTAAAATGAGGACAGTAGTGGTGCTGACATCACAGGGTTGGTGAAAGGATTAAATGAAAAAAATGTCTGTCAATCACTTGGTACCACGTCTGCGATGTAGCTGGCCCTTAATATACACAGAAGTTTACAAGGTATTTGTTTAATAAATATAAAGAGGTTCACTCCAAGAAATTTTATTAAGTACTTAATAACGTGTGCTTTGAAGTGTACACATGGGTACAATCAGCGAACAACACGAGCAGGTAAGCAAGTGAACAAACAATTTTAAGTGCAATAACTGCGTGTAAGGAAAAATGGAAGATGCTAATTCTTAGCTTCGGTAAGGAAATTTTTGAAGTATTTTTCTATATCTTTACGTAATAACCTTCTGATAAGTTAATTTAATATAAATCCAGATAAAATTAGTTTACAAAACTAAGAGACATAAACCAAAATGAAACACGCGATTAGGATTCCGAATCTCACCTCCCGAGGTTAGTCCTGCCCCTCACAACTCCTCCTCCGCCATAACCACGCCTCTTTTGGGTTTACAGGGCAGTATCACCTCGGCCTCATTCTAGGGCTGTCCTCTCCTGGATCTCAGCCGAGGATCATTTGCTCGCGAGAGTTCCTCCGACTACCTGCTCACAAGGCTGCTGCAGGAAACTAAGGTAAGAAGATTGCCGAGACTTAGCTCGACCACACTCCCTGAGGCCCCGCCCCTCCTCTTTGGCCCTCCTCTGGGCACCCCGCCCCAGTGTTGCACGTGCAGTTGTTGTGGTTTACGTCACGTGTTCCCGGAAGTGCAAGACAGGCCCGCCTCAAAGATGGCGACGCCCAGCGCACGAGGACGTGGTCCGTCTTAGATCTGACTTGGATGGTAGCCTTGACGAGGTCTGCGGTACCATGGACCGGCCAGGATTCATGGCGTCGCTGGTGGTGAGTGCGGGGCGGTGGGGTGGGTTGCTCAGAGTGCCGGCATCCGGCACTGGAGCCCTTGCGGGGTGCTCCGCTCTGTCTTCCGGTTTTGCCCTTTGGACTGTCCTCGGGTTACTGGCAGCCAGGTCTGAGAGGTAGCGCGGGGCTCCCAGGCCACCGGCGGGCCAGGTGTCAAGGCGACGTCTGTATTGCCAGGTCGTAAGAGACAGGCTGGGGAACGAGGGGGTATTTGACTCGTTGTCTTTTGCATACTCATTTACTTAAAAGAAAAAAGAGCTAACATTATGACTGTTAACTACTTTAAAATAGTATAACCACTGTAGAGATGTTGGGAGTTAATGAATGTATGTAACACAACAAAAAAACCTTACTCAAATCGCTCACGGCCTTTCTATTCAATACTACGTTTGTCATTTTGCTGCATCTCTTTTTCAGTCTTAGAAAATGACATGTCCATCTGTTCATTCAAAACATAATCTGCTTTTTCTGCTCCAAGCCTAGGCTTTGAAGATATATGGATGAGCGCATGTAGCCCATCAATAACGCTGTGGAGTCAGTCGACAGGCTTATTATTTAATTCCATAGCAGAGAACTACAAGAATCAACATTAAAAAAAAGAAAAAGTCTTTTACCAAATATTTTGGAGCCTCCGGTAGGGGTTACTAGATATAGCAGTTAACAAGACACAGATTGGCTGTCTACGTTTTCATTGTGTAGGATGGGCAGAGACAGAGAATAAATAATTTTTAAAATTATTTTCATGGGGTAAATGGAGGCCCGCGGTGATGTATTTACTTAGTTACCCAATTTTGGTGTTGCAGGTGTTGAGAATAACCTGGTGAACAAGATAGAGCCGCTCCTAAGGGTCAGGTGTTGGAGACAAAATAGTAAAATAACTGTTGGGATAGATAACAGGTGGGCTAGGTTCAGGGTGTTATGGGAACATATGGAAGAAAGGGATGTCTTAGCCAGACTTGTAGGATGATGGCTTTAAATCTAGATTTGTTGAAACTTGTATAAGCTACCTCTTAGAAATGTAAAGAAATAATGTTACCACTTTCAAGGAGCTTTCCTGTCTAGCTGGTAAGACAGCAGTAGTAGTTTGTCAACTAACGTTCCCGTGCCAGAAACTGGGGTAAGCTCTGAACTTACATTATCCCATTTGATTTTCAAAGCAATTGAAGCCTTATTCTAGTTTTCCAAATGAGGGAACAGGGATACCAAGAGGTTAGAGAACTAGTTCAAAGTCACACAAGTGAGATCCATTTCATGTGTGTAAGTTTTGGAGCTCATGTTCCAACCCAGGTGATATCACCTGGGAGTCCATGCCCTTACCTGGTTCTTGATACTCTCTCTGAAGTCAGCAAAGGTTGCAGTTGCTAAAAACCAGGTGAGTGCTGCAGTTAACAAATATATAGTTAATTAAAGTATGATATGATACACATGCAGTATACTTTGTTCCCAATGTATTTATAGAGGGTACAATTAGGATCAGTAGGTGGAAGTTTCAAGAAACTAGATTTCATTCCAGGTGAAGGAAAAACATTTTATTTGTTCAGCACACAGTTCATCTGCCATGGATTCTGCCCACTGGGTACTGTGGTAGGATTTGTAGATACAGTGGCATATAAGCAAAACCCCATCTCGATTAGGGAAGAAAGGCCAACAGAGAGTTGCAGTGAATGATAAGTGCTGTGAAAGAAACAAACTGAAGATATGACAGAGTAGGGAAATATCAGTGAACCTCTTAGCTGGAGTGACCAAGGCAACCATGAAGAGTTGACATTTCAGCTAAGATCAAAAGATGGGAAGGGGCTTGAATTTTTGATGATCAGAGTGGGAGGTTCAGCCATGGGGAATAGCTCACGTGGAAAGAGCTTAGAGTATTCAAATGGTGTGGCCTAATAGATAAAGATAGCATGTCAGGGGATGGTATTGGAGGGGTAGGCAAAGCCAGCTGAGGTGGAGCTTTGTGGGCTAGGGAAAAGAATTTGGATTTCATTTGAAGTGTAATGGAAGCCATTGAAATGTTTTATTATCAAAGTAGTACAGAAATGGAGTGGCTACTTTTTAACATTTTGGAGTGCCTTTGAGACAGGGTGAGTACTCCTGAGGGAGTTTGGTTTTGCTTTCTACTATGTTACCAGTAGTACCTGGCACTATGTACGCACTCAGTACTACTTTGAATGAATGAAAAGCCTAGATGATTGCTAAAGTCTTGAAACTTAGATTTGAATAATTAAATGAGATAAGATTAAACATGCAGAACAGAGCCTGGCAAGTAGCAGAGATTGAAATGTTCCCTTCCTAAAGCTTCATGAAGAGGACTGAATAAGGGGAGAGACTCTGAGATGTTGGTTTTCATTTGGAGCACAGAGCGGGCTATCTAGAAACAAGCCTCAAAGAGTACATTGATCAATGTATACTTTTAGGAAAGCAGCTGGAACTAAGTCTGAGCAACCTGAAGATATTTATATTAATAACATTTAACTTAGTGAAGGCAGTATGAAACTACTAAAACATGGGACAAAAGGGGAAGAATTAGGCAAGCAATGGGAAACCCATTTCTTGGACTAGCCTGGAGCCATTAAAAATATTGCTTGTGAAGAGAATGTATTGTAACTACATGGAAAATGCTTATGAGATCAAATTAAGAGAAAACAACATTGAATGTATGTATATTTGCTTGTGTCTAATTCAAGCTGTGTTAAAACCTAAAAAAGCCAGATTGAAATATCCCAAAATAACACTAAGTATTTTTGGTGGTAGGATTACATTGTGTTAGTCTTTTCTCACACTGCTAAAAAAGACATACCCAAGACTGGCTAATTTATAAAGAAAAAAGTCTTAATTCACTCAGAGTTCCACATGGCTGGGGAGGCCTCACAATTGTGTGGAAGGCAAGTGAGGAACAAAGTCACCTCTTACATGGTGGCAGACAAGAGAGCATGTGCAGGGGAACTCCCCTTTATAAGACCATCAGATCTTGTGAGAGTTATTCACTATCACCAGAACAGTATGGGAAAGACCCGTCCCCATGATTCAATTACCTTCCATCAGGTCCCTCCCACAACACATGGGAATTATGAGAGTGGCAATTCAAGATGAGATTTGGGTGGAGACACAGAGCCTAACCATATCATTCTGCCCTGGCCCCTCCCAAATCTCATGTCCTCACATTTCAACACCAATCATGCCTTCTCAGAGTCCCCTAAAGTCTTAACTCGTTCTAGCATTAACTCAGAAGTCCTCAGTCCAGAGCCTCATCTGAGACAAGGCAAGTCCCTTCTGCCTATGAGCCTGTAAAATCAAAAGCAAGTTAGTTACTTCCTAGATACAATGGGGTTAAAGGTATTAGGTAACTACACCTATTGCAAATGGGAGAAATTGACCAAAATGAAGGGGCTATAGGCCCGATGCAAGTCTGAATTCCAACAGGGCAGTCAAATCTTTTTATTTATTTTTTTAGGCAGTCAAATCTTAAAGCTACAAAATGATCTCCTTTGACTCCATGTCTCACATCCAGGTCACACTGATGCAAGAAGCGGGTTCCCATGGTCTTGGGCAGCTCTGCCCCTGTGGCTTTGCAGGGTACAACTCCCCTCCTGGCTGCTTTCATGGGCTGGCATTCAGTATCTGTCACTGTTCCAAGCATAGGGTGCAAGCTGTCAGTTGAACTAGCATTCTGAGGTCTAGAGGACAGTGATCTTTTTCTCACAGCTGTGTCAGGTGGTGCCCTGGTGGGGACTCTGTGTGGGGACCCCCCTATTGGGGCAGCCATATTTCCCTTCCACACTGCCCCAGCAGAGGTTCTCCAGGAGAGTTCTGCCCCTGCAGCACACCTCTGTCTGGACATCCTGGCCTAACCATATATCCTCTGAAATCTAGGCAGAGGTTCCCAAACCTCAGTTTTTGTCTTCTCCACACCCACAGAACCAAAACCATGTGGAAGCTGTGAAGGCCTGGGGCTTGCATCCTTTGAAGCCATGGCCTGAACTGTACCTTGGCCCCTTTAGCCATGGCTGGAGTGGCTGGGACACAGGGCACCAAGTCCTGAGACTTCACAGAGCAGGAGGGCCCTGTACCCATCCAGGAAACCATTTTTTCCCTCATAGGCCTGCAGGCCTGTGATGGGAGGGGCTTCCTTGAAGGTCTCTGACATGCCCTGAAGACATTTCCCCCATTGTCTGTCTTGTCAGTTAACATTTGGCTCCTGGTTACTTAGGTAAATTTCTGCAGCCTGCTTGAATTTGTCTCCAGAAAGTGGGGTTTTCTTTTCTACCACATTATCAGCCTGCAAATTTCCAAATTTTAATGCTCTGCCACCTCTAGGATGCTTTGCCACTTAGAAATTTCTTCTGTCAGATACCCTAAATCATCTCTTTCAAGTTCAGAGTTCCTCAGATCTCTAGGGGAGGGGCAAAATGCTGCCAGTCTCTTTACATAACAAGAATGACCTTTGTTCCAGTTCCCAGTAAGTTCCTCATATCCATGTGAGACCACCTCAGCCTGGGTTTTACTGTCCATTTCACTGTCAGAATTTTTGTCAAGGTCATTCAACAAATCTCTAGGAGGTTCCAAAGTTTCCCACATCTTCCTGTCTTCTGAGCCCTCCAAACTCTTCCACCGTCTGCTTGTTACCCAGTTCCAAAGTCACTCCCACATTTTCAGGTATCTTGACAGTAGCACCCTACTCTGGGTACCAGTTTACTCTATTAGTCTGTTCTCATGCTACTGATGAAGACATAACTGAGACTGGGTAATTTATAAAGGGAAGAAAATGGACTCACAGTTCCACATGGCTGGGGCTGCCTCACAATTATGGTGGAAGGCCAAGGAGGAGACTTACATGGCTGCCAATGAGAGCATGTGTATGGGAACTCCCCTTTAAAAGACCATCAGATCATTTGAGACTTACTAGCACCAGAACAGAATGGGAAACACCTGCCCCCATGATTCAGTTACCTCCCATCAGATCCCTTCCACAACATGTGGGAATT